ACAGATGGTTTATCTTCTGAGCCACCAGGTACCACTAAAAGAACAGTATCAAATATGAGTCTCTCTTGTCACTTAGAATTGTAATTGTGTATTTAATATGTGATACAGTATTGAAGAGTTCTTTTAGTCTTAATTAGGTACAGATTTTTAAAGTTAGGTTATTCTTAAACATACATAAAAAGCAAAATATAAGTGAAGTTAGTTGGTTAAGGAATTTCTAAAGCTATTTCAAATCTAGAGTCTCTTTTGGACTCACTTTTTCACTCAGATTTTGTATTTCCACACTGTATCATTCTCTCTGGCATTAAACCCGATGGTTTTAAGGAGGGTATTTGGAGGTGGTGAAGTAATAACCCCAAGTGGGAATCAAGTAAATTATCTCTACAAAATTGCATAATTTTAAGAAACGCAGCATGAACACTCAGTGATGCTCATTCTACAAGTTTTGATGCTGATACTTTTAATATTTACACACGCAGGCAGTATTATCAGCTAAGGTATTAAGAATACCTCTGGTTCAATAGTAATTATATGGCACCACTGATCGTAAGCTATGTCCAATGTCAGCAGTGTTAAAATGTGAAGTAATGCACATCTTATGTTCAGTGAAATTTGGTAGAAGGGTGGTAGTGGTTATCAGGTGGGTTGCCCAAGTTTATAGTTTCAGAGCTGAGTCAGTTGAAGATGATGACAAGAGTGACCATGAGAGAGGGTGGCTGAAGTAGAGAGGAAACCATCAGTAAATTGTACTCAGATATGATACGACTTAAAGGGAAACTTAAAAACCTTTTAAAACATAACTGGAGATGAGGAAAACCAGGTCAGTATTTGTGGCATGAGTTATCTGGGATGATGATGGCATGCCAGGGAGATGGCATGATGTTCCTCAGTAGAGAGGAAGACTGAGCTCAAGTAATAAAGGGTTCATAAACTGAGAGAAGAGGGGGGTAAGTGTAGCATAGTCATGTAGTATGAGCTTCATAGGAACAGGGATTTTTACCTACAGTATATGAAACTAGAATCAGGAGGACACACAGCTTCCTAATCTGAAGCACAGGGTGTGTGAGCCGTGAGCAGCTTCAAAAGAAAGATGTCTTTAGAGAAAAGCCAGTTTTTAGTCAAGGAAGTAAAAGAAAAATTCATCATAGAGGATGAGAATGTGGGGTTTGTAAAGGACTCAATGGGAAGGTTTGAGTCAAGGTAAAATACACAAGAAGCAGTGTGGCCATCGGATGAGAGGAGGTGATTATTGGGTGGCTTCTTGACTAGTGAACAAGGACTAACATGGGTGTAGACTTAAAGTTTCCCCATACCATTAAATATTGTTGAAAGCAGATTTTTAATGGGCTAGAGAAGTTTTTGTTGAAGAGCATGCAGTTACTTAACCAATCTTCTTTTGTTGAAGGTGCAAGAGAAACCCATTCATTTAGTAGTTCCTTGCTGTCATCTCCCATCATCCATTGTTGACTACAGCATCACAGCAGAGGACTCCCTCAAAAAGAGAAGAGTTCTTTCTAATCTCATGCTTTGGGGCAATGTATTTTCATTTATAGTTGCTAGTAAAATCACTCAGTTCTAGAATGCTCATTTCTAGCTATGCCACAGCTCCCATGGCTTGTGAAGGATTCAGATGTATTCATCCACCATTTTCCTGTGTTTTGGTGTCCTGACTGTGAAGCCTTAAGGAATCTTAACACACAAAAGAAAACATGTACACCTTTTAAATATTCAACAGACTATGTTCTTCTATTTCAGTTGTTGCAAATTGAATCATACTGTACTATGACTTCATGTAAATTCCAATTTCATATTTATTAAGCACACTGATAAAGTGGAACATAGTGTACATGCTTTTTTGGTGAACACTTTGGTTTAATTGTAATACTCCAAGGGAAAAAAACCTATAGCTACTATTTTCACATAACTTAATTTTCATTTGTTTAAATATTTCATTTGTTTAAATATAAGCATTTCTTTTGCCCACTATTCTTAAGTATTAGCATAGTATTAATAATAATAATGGTAGTAATGATAGCTAATATTTATTGAGCTCTTCTCTACGCCAGATACTTGCAAAGGAGTTTTTTACATATTATCTCATTTAATCCTCAAAACCACCTTGTGAGGTGGGTACCACTGTATAGATTAGTAACATACCTGAAATAACACAGCTAGTAAGAGAGAACAGTTTGAAAGGCAGATTCCTGAGCTTACACTTGCGACCATTATTCTGCACTTCCTCCTTTAGGAACTCTTAAATTTAGAGGCTGACATGTTGGCAGTTATATATCTTAGTTTTGTTTTATTCATAGGGCACATGTATGAAATCTGTTTCTTTTCTTGCTGAATTCAGTAAGATGAAACCTTCCCTGACTTATGCAAGAGAACCTTTTTCATTTTTATCTTCTCTTGCATATCCTTCTTTTTCATGGAAACCAGACTAAATTTGTCTTAACATTTGTATTAGTATTGTAATTTAAGAGTATCTCTTAAAACCTAGAAAGACTTGACCTTTAAAATATAGTCTTATTTATCCTGCATTTAATTTTACCATCTCTAATACGAATCTGAACTAGAGTTTCTTACGTTTGTTATATAGAAGATTTTAAAATGTTATTTAATACATGCACTGCTTTTTATATAGAATCACTGTTACTGAAACAAGTTTTATTGCTGCTATTTTCAGTTTTTTATCTGTGTTTAAACAAGTTATTGGCATTTTAGCCATCACCATTAATAATTTTATGTTCTTTAGCTAGAAGACAGAGATGAACTTCAAAAGAAGGTGGTCTTCCCTGAGTTTTTCAGCTTAGTTTCAGTTACTTCTTTATCCACTGATGTTCTTGGAATCTGGGGATATAAGTTGGTGGATAGGATATGTAAAATTACTCTCTCCATATGTTATCACTCCTGTAAGTAATAACAACTAATTTTTTCCAAAGGTCAGATCTCATCTTTCCAAACAGCTATAAACATGAAAACAAAGTCTCTTGAGATGTCTCAAAATCTATGTGCCTTTTTAGATTGGAAAGGCCTTTCCCTTCTGCTTATTCTACATTATATAAACATCTAAAAGGTAATAGCCTTGTGTGCTTTTTTTTTTTTTCAAGCTCAGTAGTTCTGTTTGAAGCAACCAGTGAAAGTAATAGCAGGTGAAAGATGACTGGAAGAGAGGTAGGAAAACATAATAAAAATAATTGCCAAAGTCCAGCATCTGGGAATTTAGTCTTCTAGTCAACCCTGAGGACACTGTTGACTCAATGATTAAGAAAAATAAATTTAGTATACACTAATTAGACTGAGACATTGGTTCAATGGTTAGGACTTGGTGCTTTCATGGCCAGGCCTAGGCTCCGTCCCTGATTTGGGAACAAAGGCCCTGCACGCTGTGAAAAACAACAAACAGAATGCATTGGAAAGAATTTTATGAGATATGCTTAGTAGAATCTTTAATATTTTCATGTTTATAATTTATATTCTAATGAGTGAAAAATATGTCATATCACATAACAGGGACATTTTATTTAGATGAGTAATACTTGTAATACACAGGTAATATATTTAGCATACTGGCACCTGACTCTCGAGTCAGGCTTCCCTGCTGGCTCAGATGGTGAAGAAGCTGCCTGCAGTGCAGGAGACCCAGGTTCAATCCCTGGGTCTGGAAAATCCCCCGGAGAAGGGAATGACAATCCACTCTGGTATTCTTGCCTGGAGAATTCCATGGACAGAGGAGCCTGTGGGCTGCAGTCTGTGGGGTTACAAAGAGTGGGTTTCACTTTCACTATAGATTTTAGTTACTATTAATATTTTTGTTAACAATATCTCTTCCTCTAGTTGGAGTCAGTTTACTGTCACCTAAAATAAACTTGGTTTCAGCCTGTACACTTATTTTAACTTATTAAGTGTTCTGTTTTTACTCTCTGGCTTTTAGATTTACTCATCTTGCATGGTCATAGAAAACTAGAAAGAAGTTCATTGAGTTTGTTTGTTTGTTGCCATGGAAAACAAGCATGCACCAATTGATACTCTACAGCTGAGAACAGCAAATGTCCATAGGCTAGAGAACTGTAGTTCCAGAGCTGAGGATTATATTTTCAGTTAAAAATAAATTCTTGAGTAGTCTTTTTTAAGATATAATTTGCACAACATAAAATGTACCCCTTTACTGTGTTACATTTCCTGTGTTACATTACTGTGTTGGTTAGGATATTTACAAAGCCTTAAACTTTTAAGCGAACAGTTTTTCCCAAGTATTCTAATTATATTTCTTTTCTTAGCTTCAAGTCTTTACTTTTGCCCTGTGGTTACTACTTTCTGTACTTTTCTTGCCTTCTCTGAAATTCCTTTTGATTGAGGTCTGATGTCATCTCTTTGGGGAAGTCTTTGTTGATTCCTCAGGCATTTAGTCTCTCACAGCCCTCTTTTTTAATCCCTTTATTATATTGCTTATCATATTCATAATTATCTCTTTAGTTTTCTTTCCTTTCACACCATTTATCTCTCAAGCATAGAGACTGTTCTTGTTTTTCTGCTATCTTCAGAAATTCGAACAATGTCATGGTAGGCTTTTCGGTACATATTTATTGAATGATTATAACGGCAAGTAGTTCTGGCAGTCCCTAATCTGTCATTGTGTACTAGGAGTGTGATTTACTATATTCAGTGTTGAATATTAAAATAATGTCATTTTGTTTGGGGGAATTATACCATTTTAGTATTGGAAGGCACCAATCCTCCCTGACTCAGCACATACATATTAATATATGCACACAAAGCAAATTGAAATCCATAGAAGTTGAATTACAGTGTTGAAGCTGGGACTGAAAATCCATGTTACCTCATCTTGTCCCATACTAATTTATTTTCTCTTACATCCTGATGACTTAAATTAAAAATTCATTTGTCTCCTAAGGGAAAAGACCTTGAAAATGTTAATTCATAATACTGGAAAAGAACTTTCAAATTGGTTTAAACAGTGACATTTTCCTGTTTTATAGACCTCCGTGAGTGAAAGCCTTCAGAGGGAAGCTGCCAAGAAGCAAGCAATGAAACAGGTAAGGTTGAAAGGGTGAATTAAATGTATTTGGTGAAGTAATTATTTCAGCTCACATTTTAAAGTGTCAGTTTTGGGAACTGTGCAACTGAGACTGCACAGTAGGTGTGTATTAAATAATTTTATCTTGACACTTGTTTTCTGAAACTGTGTAAGATGTTTCTTGCTTTGCATAAATTTCAGGTTTCTTGTATAAATTTTAAGGGAGAAAAACACACTGAAGAATTAGTTCCTTATTGCTCTATTCTAGATTAAACCCATTTCTGCTTTCAGATGACTTAGTCTGACAGTGGGTTTCATGGTTTAATAATTCCTGCTATTGTGAGCTGCCAGGATACAGCAATTCCACTTCTGTGTATGTATCCAAAGAAAGTGAAATTACTAATTTGAAAAGGTACATGCACCCCTGTGTTCATTACAGCATTATTTGTAATGGCCAGAATATGAAAATTACCTAAATGTCCATTGATGGGTGAATGGATAATGAAGATGTGGAGTGTACACACACACACACATGAATACTTCTTAGCCATAAAAAAATGAAATATTGCCACTTGCAATGACATGGATGGACCTTGAGGGTGTCATGCTAAATAAAATAAGTCAGAGAAAGACAAATATCATATGATTTCACTTATACATGGAATTTAAAAAACAAAACATTTGAACAAAACAAAACTCATAGAGAAGAGAGTTATAGTTGCCAGAGGGGAAGTATATTGGGGAGCTTGGTGAAATGGATGAAGGGGATCAAGAAGTACAAAATTCAAGTTATTTTTTTAAAAAGTCATGGTGATGTAATATACAGCATAGTAACTATAGTCTCTAGTGACTATAGATATTGTATGCAAATTTGGAAATTGTTAAGAAAGTAAATCTTAAAAGTTTTTGTCATCTCAGGAAGTTTTTTTTTTTTCTGGTAGCTTTGTATGGTGACAGATGGTAGCTAGACTTACTGTGGTGATCATTTCACAAATGTCAAATCATAGCCTATGTCAGTTATACTTCAGTGAAAACTAAAAAGTTCCTTATAATTATTAAAATATTTTTAATGAAAATATTTTAAATGAAAAAAAATATTTTTAATGAAAAATATATCAGACAAAAAATTCTTTAAACTAATTGTATTGCAAAGTAATTTCTTTAGTGAATATACTACTAAAATTCTAGAGGTGACATCTCTAAAAATAAAGCATTTTTCAATTACAAAAAAAAGTATTTCCTACTGTTTAAAACCTGAACATTTTATTTGGTAACACAACTAAAAGTGATATGAAAGTTTAATATGTAATATAATATAGGCATCTCAAAATTAAGGTTTGATGTTCCTAAGTCATACCCTAGTCATTTTGACTTTTTGATGTGGGTAACTTTATTTTGGGGCTTCCCTGATGGCTCATTGGGTAAAGAATCCGCCTGCAATGTCTCGGGTTCGATCCCTGGGTCAGGAAGATCCCTTAGAGGAAGTGGCAATCCACTCCAGTATTCTTGCTTGAAAGACCTCATGGACGGAGGAGCCTGGCTCCAGTCCATAGGCTCGCAGAGAGTCAGCCACAACTGAGGGACTGAACACACCACTATTTACCCTTAAGTGAATGGATGATAATAAATAATGTCTAATGTCCTGGAGCAGGGCATGGCAACCCACTCTGGTATTCTTGCCTGGAGCATCCCGTGGACAGAGGAGCCTGGGGGTCTGTAGGCCACGGGGTCGCAAAGAGTCAGACACAACTGAACGACTAAGCACATCACAATGTTTAATTAACGCTTACTCTGTGTAAGGCTCTGTTCTAAGTGTTTTAAGTTTAAAATGTGATTGATACAATTTTTATGATATATTTCTGATTTATGATCCTGTCCCAAAAAACTACTTAGACTTTTTTTGGTATCTGTTAGTTGGCTCATATTTTTGAAATATGTTCAATTTTTTTTTTTTTAAAGACCAAACTTGAAATTCAGAAGGCTCTTGCAGAAGATTCTACTGTATATGAATATGACAGTATTTATGATGAAATGCAGAAAAAGAAGGAAGAAAGTAACCCCAAATTGCTTTTGGGAAAAGACCGAAAGGTTTGTAGCTGAAAATATAAACTTTCTTTGACTTTGACCAGCATTTTGTATCTTACTCTTTTTTCACCATGAGAGTGATCTGACAAAAAATTTTAGGTATATAAAATGCAAAGAGCCCCTAGTTCCAGATAGTGTGGATTTGTTAGAATCTAGGAAGCTGTATATAGAGTATCCTAACAGGAGCAAGAGAATTATCTAACAATTTTATAAATTTTGTTTTTTGCTTTAAAACTTTTCAAATTATTTTTTGAAAGTTTTCTTAGGAATGTCTTTGTACTGCTCCTCCTGTTCGTGTTTATTTGTGTTTTATAATTTTTTTTATTGCTTCCTAGCTGGTAATTGAATCAGCCATGTGTATCATGATCAAATTTTTAGTTTCTCGAAAATGTAAAGGTGTGGAGATTGAATGAAATGAGTTCAAATTTTCTATCACTCTTCTCTTTCACAAAGCACGCACTGGTTTCTAAGGATCTTTACATCTCATAGTATCTGAAATAAAGTAGTGGTGTAAAACTATATTAAAGCTACTATTTTAAATAATTGTATTTCAACTAATGTGAAAAACTAATTGGAACGCTTTCCTGTTCACATATCTGAAGAAGTAAAAAAAATACCATTTAGTAAAAAGTGTGAGAAAAACAGTGGGAAAATTACCTATTTAGTTTGAGATTTTTTTTTTTTTAATGGTGTTTTGAATATTTCTATCTATACTTAAATTTCTATTGAAACGAGTTTTATTTTCAATCTTGCTAGTAAATTTGTATTAAATTTTGAGAAGTTGATCCTATTTATTTGACTTTCTATCTTAATGAATTCGTGATAACAGTAGAATATTAACAATTCATTATCTTTGACTCTCTCCTAAATAATCTTATTTTTCCCCCTAGCCCAAGTACATTCACAACTTACTGAAAGCAGTTGAAATTAGAAAAAAAGAACAAGAAAAAAGAATGGAAAAGAAAATACAGAGAGAACGAGAAATGGAAAAGGGAGAATTTGATGATAAAGAGGCATTCGTAACATCTGCTTATAAGAAAAAACTGCAAGAGAGAGCTGAAGAGGAAGAAAGGGAAAGAAGAGCTGCTGCACTTGAAGGTGAAATGAAAGGGAGAAGGGTAGAAGGAAATAGAAATAGGAGAATTCTGCCCTGTGGTAGCCATTTGCTCTGTCACTGAACTTTTAGATTATAATGTTGTCATAATTTATGTATGTGACTACAGGGTACAAGGTATATGATGTTATATAGTGTTATAAAATAGAAGAATTTAGGTAAAAACACAGTTGCACTCTTGGTAACTGTTATATCTATTCAGTTTTCTAATCATATCTCATTTTGTTGCTTAAAACTGTAATCATCACAAGTCATTGCCTTAGAAAATGATTTCAAATGTAAAAACATCAATTACAAGGCATAACTGCACAGCATTTGTCAAAGGGAATATAAACTGAGATTTAAATCCTAGTTATATTTTCCTGGGATGAAAAAACTAACATCACCCAAGGACATTTACATTAACTAGACATTTACAAAAAGAATAACTTTAATTCAAGAAAGAACAAAGATGTGCAGAGGCCAAAAAATATCTTAATGCTTTACTGCAGTACTTTCTACTCATGGTCATTTCTCATGATCAAAGTAAAATATGTAATTATAAACAGCTTATTTGTCAAGTGCTTACCAACTTTTTTTTTCCCATTTATTTTTATTAGTTGGAGGCTAATTACTTTACAATATTGTAGTGGTTTTTGTCATGTATTGAAATGAATCAGCCATGAATTTACATGTATTCCCCATCCTGATCCCCCCTCCCAACTCCCTCTCTATCTGATCCCTCTGGGTCTTCCCAGTGCACCAGGCCCGAGCACTTGTCTCATGTATCCAACCTGGGCTGGCTTACCAACTTTAAATGGAAGAAAACCACATGTGTAAGACTTGATCTCAGCATGTACTATGTGTTCATCTAGAGCACCACTCAGGACGAGATAGTAAATAAACAGGGCTACATCCCAGTAAAAATCTATTGATAAAAAAGGCAGCAGGCCAGATTTGGCCTGCAGACTGTATAGATCTAGAGACCAGTTTATACACCATGTTATATCTGTGCCTGTAAAACTGAACTACGTTTTGCCTCATTGAATATATTATTCTCACTTCTGCTTTCATTCTCTTAGCACGTTTGGATGTAACCAAGCAGAGAGATCTCAGTGGATTTTATAGGCACCTATTAAATCAAGCAGTTGGTGAAGAGGAAGTACCTACATGCAGCTTTCGTGAAGCCAGGTGAGATGTGGCATATGGAATCTTTAGAAGAAGGATTAAGGGGTGAAGTCGTTCAGTCATGTCTGACTCTTTGCGACCCCATGGACTATAGCCGACCAGGCTCCTCAGTCCATGGGATTTTCTAGGCAAGAATACTGGAGTGGGTTGCCATTTCTTTCTCCAGGGGGTCTTCCCGACCCAGGGATCGAACCCAGGTTTCCCGCATTGTAGGCAGATGCTTTCCCGTCTGAGCTACCGGGGAAGCCCTTCCAGAAGAAGGATACTGCCCTTGATTTCTGATGTGATCCCGCAATCATTTAAACTCCCTGGAAGTAGAGGACTGTAGTATTGCATATTTTGTTGTTAGCCAGACCTGACCTAATTGAATGAATAACTGGAGATTTACAGCTTTTTAATATCAATAACCTCAGATGTGTAGATGACACCACCCATATGGCAGAAAGTGAAGAGGTACTAAAAAGCCTCTTAATGAAAGTGAAAGAAGAGAGTGAAAAAGTTGGCTTAAAGCTCAACATTCAGAAAACTAAGATCATGGCATCTGGTCCCATCACTTCATGGGAAATAGATAGGGAAACAGTGGAAACAGTGTCAGACTTTATTTTTTTGGGCTCCAAAATCACTGCAGATGGTGACTTTAGCCATGAAATTAAAAGACCCTTACTCCTTGAAAGGAAAGTGATGACGAACCTAGATAGCATATTAAAAAGCAGAGACATTACTTTGCCAACAAAGGTCCATCTAGTCAAGGCTGTGGTTTTTCCAGTGGTCATGTATGGATGTGAGAGTTGGACTGTGAAGAAAGCTGAGCACCGAAAAATTGATGCTTTTGAACTGTGGTGTTGGAAGAGACTCTTGAGAGTCCCTTGGACTGCAAGCAGATCCAACCAGTCCATCCTAAAGGAGATCAGTCCTGGGTGTTCATTGGAAGGACTCAAGCTGAAACTCCAGTACTTTGGCCACCTCATGCAAAGAGTTGACTCATTGGAAAAGACCCTGATGCGGGGAGTGATTGGGGGCAGGAGGAGAAGGGGATGACAGAGGATGAGATGGCTGGATGGCATCACCAACTTGATGGACATGAGTTTGGGTAAACTCCGGGAGTTGGTGATGGACAGGGAGGCCTGGTGTGCTGCGATTCATGGGGTCGCAACGAGTCGGAAACGACTGAGCAACTGAACTGAACTGAATTAAAAAACCTTTAGTTCAAGGTATTTTTATTATAGTAATTCTGCATGCATGTTCAGATAGTGTATAAAAAGAGAAGCGTATCTTTTCATAAATAGGACCTAGCCTCTGTAAAACATAAAGATTCACGTAGTCAGGGCCTTAGAAATGCATTATCCAATATGTAGCCACTAGTTTCATGTGACTGTTTAAATTAAATCTAAAATTTTGGTCACGTCAGTCACCTTTCAAGTACACCATTCTCACATTTGGCTAGTGGCTACAATATTAGACAGCACAAATATGGACATTACCATTTCTGTAGACTTTTTTCTGGCTATGCTGTGCAGCTGGTGGAATCTTAATTCCCCACCAGGGTTGGAACCTGGGTCTCGGCCCTGAAAGCACTGAGCCATAAACCCTGGACTACCAGGGAATTCCTCACTTCTGTTGGCATTTCTGTTAGCGCTGGTCTAGAAAGGAAGGGCTGGAGGAATTCTGAATAAAATTATAAGATGTTATGCATACTAAGTCTCTTCAGTCATGTCTGACTCTCTGCGACCCTTTGGACCGTAGCCCATTAGGCTCCTCTGTCCTAGGATTCTGCAGGCAAGAATACTGGAATGGGTTACCATTCCCTTCTCCAGGGGATCTTCCTCACCCAGGGTTTGAACCTGCGTTTCTTATATCTCCTGCATTGGCAGGTGGGTTCTTTACCACTAGCGCCACCTGGGAAGCCCATAAGATATAGGAATAGTGAAATTATCATGCTATAATATATATTTGAAGGTAAAATTTGTCCTAAATTTGTATCTAAGGAAAGCAGTTCCTTGAGAACCATAGTTGTTGCTTTGTTTGTGTGATGAATAAGTGATTACTGAGAATGAGTGTGTGAGTAATGCAAATTAACCATGCTGATCAGCTGGGAAAATGTAGGTGGTATAAACAGTATTAATGTAACTGATCATAATAGCTGGATGGATTCACATATTTCCATTTTGTTGTAATAGATGGCTGAGGTGTATAGCAGGAGGCTGATGCCTTTTCAGTCATGAGAAGGATTATTTAGTGATACTTAGAATTATATTTTGTCACCATTTTGTGGTGAAAAAAATTTATCTTCATCTTTTTCCAGGACTATTTTTAAGTATTTTTTAGAAAGAAAGAAAAAATCCAACAAAGAGCCACAACTTGAACTTCTTATTGAAAACTAGTACTTATTCCAGAATATGCCTTTTCCTAATGATTTGTTGTCTATGTTTGGCAAAAAGGAAGACCTTCCACAGACCCCTACCTGAAGGATCTAGTGGTCTATACAGAAGGTCTGATTTTCACTTTTTCATTTCTACCAATATTGAAAATAATCTGAATGATTAGAATATATTAATGATAGATGTTTACCAGGTAAATAGACATCAGCACCTTTTTGAATTTGGGATAATCAGAAAGCATATACAGTTGTAAGTGTATTGACTTAAGTACTGATAAAAGTTCTATGAATTTATTTATAGAATTTATTTATTATAATTAATAATGTGGCATTTTGTGTTACATTATTTTTCTTAAGGTCTGGGATAAAAGAAGAGAAATCAAAAGGATATTCTGATGAAGTAAGTTCAGAGAGCAGAATACCTCATGAGAACTGCATTAGCCGAACTGGTGTGAAAGTAGAGGAAAACCCAGATGCAGACAGTGACTTTGATGCTAAGAGCAGTGAGAATGATGAAACGGAGGAAAATAAAGTGAACTGCAGAAGGGAAAAGGGGACAGAGACCTTACAAAATGACTCCAAGCATCCCAGGAATCCTACCCACTCACCATCATCTAGTGAGGAAAGAGAACATGGTACCAAATGCCACACAAAAAGTTCCAAGTCAAGAGGACGTGAGAAAAGGGAAAGTCAACACCAAGAGAGACCATCCAGGGAGCAGGACAGCTATTACACTGACCGTGATTCTCGAAAAGAAAAAAAGGATTCCCGTAGGCACAGAGAGTCCAGTCACAGAGATTCACACTGGAAGAGGCATGAACAAGAAGAGAGACTGAGGGGAAGAGATGAGAGAGAAAGAAATGACAGAGAATGGAAAAGGGAGAAAGACAGGGAGAAATATCCCTCCAGAGAACAGGAAAGACAGAGACAACAAAATAATTATGACCGACACAATGAGAAAGGATGCGAGAAGGAAGAGAAAAGCAAAGAAAAGGAAGAGCTTGTGAAAGCAAGAAAAGAAAGATATGAAAACAGTGATAAATACAGAGATAGAGAAAAACAAGAAGTCAGTGTTGAATCTTCAGAAAGAAATCGAGACAGAAAGGAAAGCAGCCCAAATTCTAGGGCAAAGGATAGGTTTCTTAACCAGGAAAGAGCCAGTAAAATGAGAGACATGGAAAAGGACAAAGAAAGAAACCCAGAGAAACCCCCTAGTTCTGAAGCGTCATTGGGAGCAAAACACAGAATCACAGAGGAATGCCAAGATACAGGCAAAGAACAAGAGAGGCCACATGAGACAGTGAACAAGTTTGCAAAGCGGAGCAATGAAGAAACTGTAATGTCAGCAAGAGACAGATACTTGGCCCGGCAAATGGCAAGGATTAACGCAAAGACATATATTGAGAAAGAAGATGATTGATGACTGCCCCAGTAGAAAGACCTATGGAAGCACAGAAAATTACAACTCCTGAAACATGCTGTGTGAACACATAAAGGAATGTGTTAAGAGTGGTTGGGAGGGTATTTTAAAATATATTTTCAAAATTCATTTTGGGTTTAGGGTTAAGTCAGAAGTCAGTCCTTTTATCTTGAATGTTTAACTAAGTTAATATGTAATATTATTAGTACGACCTTCTTGGTTATATTCAAGTAACCTAAAGAGAATGCTAAATCCTCATAGGTAATATGAGGAAAATTGGCTCTACTATGACCATTAAAAAATAATTTAAACAACTCTTCTATTGTTGATTTTGTTGCAGGAGCTGTTTATATTATAAATACTGTGTTTCAGATAAAAATAATGTGGATTTGAATGGAGAATATCATTTTACTTTTTGTCCTTAAATTTGTATTAAAGTGTAAAATATAGATCACGCATCTTGTCTAAGCTTTTTAGCTCACAACATACCTCTCTTAAATGAAAATAAAAATTGTGATAACATTTGTACCATTTAATTGATGCTTATATTTTAAAAGTGTCACATTTAAAGTGTCACTTGTATCATGCCATCATTCCTCTTTTCTGAAACCTTAGCAAGATATTAAATTAGTTATGTGTATAACTGAGTTTTAGCTAAGGGTGAAAAGATGGAGATACCCTAAATAAAAAAAATTAGAGGACTGGGTAGTCTATTTATGAACATGTCTTGTTTAATACACTGTTAAAAATACAGCACAATTTATTAGAAGTTCCATATATAGAGGTTCTGTACTAAGGCTTATCAATGACAGTGACAAATACTGCAAAAGCATAGATTGAGCATACACAGAGGGGCGTAGTACAATGGAACTGGAAAATTTCAGGTGAGATCATGGAAGACCATGAATGACAGGCTGAAAGTCTTCAGCTTTGATGAAGAATTGAATTCCTTTGTTAGAGTTGTCATACTAGAGCACAGGGTAGCAGTTCTTGGATAATGATAATAAGTTATTTGGATCAACATAAATAAGGGATTCATTATATGTGTTGCTAGATATGTCTTCTAAATAGTTGAGGTCTAAAATAATGGACTTTAATTGTGTGAATTGGTAAACAACTGTTCTGTGATTCACTATCTTAATTTTCCTTCTCCTTCCACTTGTTTACTCTTGTTCCAGTACTGTTTATTTTGGCTTCTGTGGATGATGATTTTTTTTTTTTAGTTAAATATTTGTTTAATTGATTTTTAAGGTGTTAATTTTTGCTATACAGCAAAGTGACTCAGTTATATATGTGTGTGTGTGTGTGTATACATTCTTTTTTGTATTCTTTTCCATTATGATTTATCCCAGAAGATTGGATATAGTTCCCTGTGCTGTACAATAAGACCTTGCTTTTTATCCATTCTAAATGTAAGCATTTGCATCTACTAACCCAAACTCTCAGGCTATTCCTTTCCCTTCCCCCTACCCCTTGGAAAACAGAATCTGTTCTCTATGTCTGTGAGCCTGTTTCTGTTTTGTAGATAGGTTCATTTGTGCCATATTTTAGATTCCATATGTAAGTGTATCATACGGTATTTGTCTTTCCTATGTTGTTGCAAATGGCATTGTTCTTTTTCATGGCCGAGTAGTATTCCGTTGTATATATGTACCACATCTTCTTTATCCATTCATCTGTCAATGGACATTTAGGTTGTATCCATGTCTTAGATATTGTCTCTGTCTTTGGCTGTTGTGAATAGTGTTGCTTTGAACATAGGAGTGCATGTATCTTTTTGGGTTGTAGTTTTGTCTAGATATATGCTCAGGAGTGAGACTGCTGGATCATATGGTAATTCTATTTTTAGTTTTCTGAGGAACCTCTATGCTGTTTTTTATAGTGGCTGCAGCTACTTACATTCCCACCAGCAGTGTAGCAGGATTCTTTTTTCCACACATTCTCCAGCATTTGTTACTTGTAGACTTTTTAATGGTCACGATTCTGATTGTATGATCTGTATGAAATGGTACCTCATTGTAGCTTTGATTTGCATTTCTCTCATAATTAGTGATGTTGAGAACCTTTTCATGTGCCTGTGACCATCTGTATGTCTTCTTTGGAAAAATGTCTATTTAGGTTTTCTGCCCATTTTTCAATTGGGTTGTATGAGCTGTTTATGTATTGTGGACATTAAACCCTTGTCAGTTGCATTGTTTTCAAATATTTTCTCCCATTTCATAGGTTGTCTTTTCATTTTATGGTTTTCTTTGCTATGCACAAGTTTCTAAGTCTGATTAATTCCCATTTGTTTTTCTTTCTATTGCTTTGGGAGACTGACCTAAGAAAACATTGGTATGATTTATGTCAGAGAATGTTTAGTCTATGCTCTCTTCTGTGAGTTTTATATGGATGATGTGTTTAAAGATAGACGTGCAAATAATGGGCTTCCCTTGTGGTTCAGCTGGTAAAGAATCCATCTGCAATGCAGGAGACCTGGATTCAATCCCTGGGCTGGGGAGATTCCCTGGAGAAGGAAATGGCTACCCACTCCAGTATTCTGGCCTGGAGAATTCCATGGACTGTAAAGTCCACAGGGTCGCAGAGTCGGATACGACTGAGCGACTTTCATGCAAATAATCTTTGACCTGCAATCAAAAAACCTAGGTATAAGGCCTGTTTTGGAACTTTCCAGCTTTGTGAACCTGGATAAATCAGTTAATCACTCTGCGCCTCATGCTCCTTATCTACAAAACTGGGGAAATGACATCTATCACATAGTTCTAATGATGAGTGAGATGATATTTGTGAAAGTATTAGTCACCTCAGTTGTGTCTGATTCTTTGCGACCCCATGACTTGAGTACACCAGGTTCCTCTGTCCACAGAATTCTCCAGACAAAAATATTGTAGTGGGTTGCCATTTCCTTTTCCAGGGAATCTTCCCGACCCAGGGATTGAGCCCGGGTCTCCTGCGTTGTGGGTAGATTCTTTACCATCTGAGCCACCAGGGAAGCCTGATACATTATAAACTGAAGCTCTACACAGGTTATAATAATTCATTTTGCTTTACTGAAATTTAACATCTCTAATTCTAGGTACTTTTGATGCTAAATATTTGCAGATCACATGCAGTGATGTTTTGGGGGATGTTTTGACAATAGACAGTTAAAGATTTTTCTTTTAACCTTAAGAGTTTGGAAGGGAGTTTTGTTTCACTCTGCTTTTTCTTCTTTTTAATGAGATAGTCTATTCATCATGATGTTAAGAGTTACTATAGTAGTAGTTAAAAACAAAAGCCTTTTACTGATGTCTTAAAATATAATTTGGAACATCTATGACTAAATTGCATAAATGAGTACATGGGCATTTTATGCATCTTAAAGAGGGGACTCTTTATTTTGTATAAATAGGTTTAATTCTGTCACTGAAGTTTAAATATAAATGTTTCATGTAAAAAATAACATTGGACAATTTCATATAATCACAGTTGACAGAGGTGAATAGTAGAAATATTTATTCTTGGCTATAGATAATGTGGAAGAAGAAACTAAAGATGAGGGAAATGAAGTACCATTTATATAATTCAGTTAACTATATATAGTCCAGAATTTGAAGCACCTCATTGATACATTCAGGGCTTCCCTCTTAGCTCAGTTGGTGAAGAATCTGCCTGCAATGCAGGAAACCCAGGTTTGATCCCTGGGTTGGGAAGATCCCCTGGAGGAAGGCATGGCAACCCACTCCAGTATTCTTTCCTGGAAAATTCCCAAGGACAGAGGAGCCTGGCAGGCTACAGTCCATTGTGTCCCAAGAGTCGGATACAACTTAGCGACTAAATCACTACCATTGATACGTTCAACACAAAGTATCCTGAAAACATTTTTTTGGCTTTTTTTTTTTTGTAAATCAGATCATATTTAAATGCTACTGGAGAAATAACTGCAAATTCTTATTTTATGTAAGTCCCTAATTTTATCCTTTAAACTTTGCATTTTTCATGTATCAAGTTTTATGATAAGGTATACTTGTAATATTAGAGTAAGAATCAAGTAGCTTTTTAAAAAAATTAACAAATATTATTTGTTTATGGAAATGTAGGTATTTGGGGCTTCCCTGGTGGCTCAGATGGTAAAGAATCTGTCTGCAGTGCAAGAGACCTGGGCTTGATCCCTGGGTTGGGAAGATCCCCTGGAGAGGGGAACAGCTACCCACTCCCATATTCTGGCCTGGAGAATCCCATGGGCAGAAGAGCCTGGCAGGCTTCAGTCCATGGAAGTGCAAAGAGTTGGACACAACTGATGTATAACACTTTGACTTTGATTCATCCTTTATTTTCAGCATTTCTCTGAGATTTTTTTGATGTATGTCACTTCAGGCATTTTAAGCCTAGCGATGGGCTAGCTCCTATTTCCTAAATGTTGTTTGAACTGTCAGTGTTTACAATTTGTTAGAAATAGATAACTATAATTGGAGTCTTCAGTTGTAGAACTGAAGGACTGAAACCACCTATTCTCTCTCCTAAATGATAAGGTTCTTAGTTTAGCAGACATAAAAGTTTTTTCTGATGATGTGCTCCACCAGTGCACACTGGTTCCAAAGTAGATTTGGTCAGTGAAGATAATCTGTTTTTGATAAGGAAATAAAAACTTGATTGTGGTAAAGCAGTTTGGTATGGATATTATGAGGTGCTGGTAAGAGAAATAAAAGCTTAAATTTCAATTGAAATATATTGTGAATCATTAAAAAAAAAAGATTTCTGTTTTGATACACCTCATGTAGAAGCAGTACTGAATGGATTCCAACTATATGTTACATAAGCAAAGGCATACTTAAGATTCCATCTTTTCCATTGTAGTAAATGCCTATTAAAAAACTGAGAGGAATATTATGTCATTCTAGGAGAGGGAATATTTCTTTAGAAATTTCTAGATCCCAGGAAGAGTAGAGAAAGTAACTAGGTTTGTTTCTGCCCTCTAATGTAGTTATCTGAACTTCAAAACATTGTTCCATTATTGAAATTTAGAGACAGTTAAGCAATGAAGGGGAAAGGTGATACTATAACAACAAAAAAAAAGATTTAGAGCTTTTCAAATAGTCCTTCCATGAAACTAAACAAGACACATTTTAGTAAATGTCATTGACTTATCTGTGATACTGAAGAAAAAAGTTCAGAATGTTTCACCAGGAAAACTTTCTACAGTATAGGGATATTCCTTGTCTTAATGTTTTATTTTGGGGTTTTTTTTTTCAATATTTGGATTTATAAATTTCAGTCTCCAGCATACTTTGCAAGCCCTTTCTAAATTCACCTTCCTAATTTAGAGCCTTTTGTGTAACATTCCTTGTGTTTTTAAGTAACGGGTGAGCTCCATGACTAAAGTATACAACTTCCTACTTTGCGTAGGACTATTGTTTTCATTGCTTTATGGTGATGACAGGTTGTAATAGTCTCTGAGGGATCTACTGCTCTTCCCAACTGTCTCTGACAAAAAAAAAGGAGAAAGTGCCTTCTGAATACTGCCTTGTTTTAATGATACCTTAAGCACCAGGTGTTGATTTATGAGCCGAAAGACATACTACGAAAGGAACCAGGCATGGATTGTACCATTGGATAGCTAAGGATTGTCTTAAGATACGTAAGAACAGCACAGTTAAGCCACTGCATTCCGTGGTTTTAAGCTTTGCTTTGACAGTGACCTCCAAATCAACTGTACAACAGATAGAACATACCAGGTCAGTCTTTTCTTACTTTTCAGAGAGAACATGGTTCTAATTCTAGGAGAATAATCTCCCTTTTCAGGAGATTTGGGGTGGATGAGTTAAATGGAACTTTGTACTTAAAAGTTTGGCATTGGTGGCACCAAATTAACAAGCTGCATAAAAAGAGGGGATGGTGAAAGAGTGACTAATCTCACAGAATCACTGCCTTACTTTGAGATTCATTATTTGATCTGTCATGATTTTGGAGCTAATACATTGATTGACTGGGTGGGTTTGTAGGGGTCTTTGCTTCCATCTCCAGATGGGGCAGTTAGGGCAGTGAATTTAGGTTACAAGTCGTGCATTCCACACAACAAATGGAATAAGTTTTAAATGGGTTTCAAGTTTTTTGGAATGGAGATAAATTGTTTGGACTCCATTACATATCAACATATAGGAACAATCTCAGTCAACTGAATTGGCCTCCATTCTTTTGTTGTGTCTTGTCTTTTCCTTGGTTATTTCTTACTAATTACAGAAAAGAAATTAACTTCAGCACTTTATAATTCATTCCATTTTTATTTTTTACTTTTATGTAAATGCTACATTAGATGTAAAAGGTCTTTAAAAGATTATTTTAAAGTAGGTCTACCAACTGAGTTTTCCTTAAAAAATATTCAGAGTAGTATTAATAAATAGGAATCAAGTAAATGCAGACTATATTGAAGAGAGATTTTGGATTTTTTTAAAGTCTAGTGACATTTGAAAAAAAAAAAAAGTCTAGTGACATTTGAAAATTTTCAAAACACCTGTATAACACCTGGCTTGACAAAACTCTTTGAAAAAGTGCTGTTTAAAAAATGGTATCTTTGGAAAATGCATAAGCGTGTGTGAGAGGGGGAGAATCCATATAAAGCAAGTTCTTAAAATTTGCAAAGCTATTTACCACCAAATACACTGCCACTTACATTACCTCTCTCCTTTCAGCACTCTAGAAAGCAAAGAGAATGGACATAAGGTAGCAAGAAGGAATGAAAAAGCAAAGATAAGGTAGGTCACTAAGAGTCATTTTAAATCCCCTTTCTCTTTCCCTCTGATTTGGGAAATTTCTCAGCAGCTGACATCTATGGGGAAAATACCCCACTGGGGAAAGCAGGGCATCAGAAATAGAAGGATGTAGTGGAATACAGGAAGATGGCTGGGGAATATTGTTGGGGAAAGGAAGCCAAGGGAGAAAGATCTATAATTGGATGAAATTAGGCCTCTGCTATAGGGATCTTCTTTCTGTAAGGTTGTTAGGATTGAATTAGATTCATGTAGAGGACTGATGTGATATGGGGCCAGAAGATCGAGTCCTTTTATCATTGACTAGGCTTTACTGCTCTTAAGGTTTTGGTTAAGGAAATGTCACTACAAGGTAAAATTTGCTTCTCTACCTATGCATCTGACTGTCCCAAGCTACTGAAGTCACATTTACCAGATCTGTATTAAGGGTTTTGTGAATGTCATTAACTTAAGGGTCCCTTTTCCAGTCAGCCTTATTTAGACTCAATCTTGAAAATTATCTGGAGGGCCCACTATCCTGATAGCCACCCAGGAAAAGTCAATGAGTTGGGAGGAGGTTCACTTCCAGACTCAATTCTTAATTACTTTTGGGTTGAGGATGACCTTGGTTTAGGTCAGGGTGTCAGACCTCTACACCCTGTGAGAATTAGATTTATCTAGTCTTCACAAAGCAAAATAACCTTAGTGGTCAAACTCAGTCATTTGAAGTGGACAGAGCTTAAGCCAGATAGCCAACTGAACGCTGAAGATGCATTTATCAATATTCATCTTCAAAGTAGTTCACAGCCAAGCCACAGTGACTAATGAAATAGGCCAGATTAGCCTGTGGACTGTTACCCTGTATGTTTAGTAGAGAGAGACAGGAAGATGGCAGTGAAGTGCAGCAAATACTGAAGGCCAGCCTACAGAGGAAAGCATATGGGCTAAAGCAGTGTCCTTGGAAAAGGAATAGGTGGCAGAGCCTGTCGTCGTCATTATACCCTTCAAATAACATACATACAAATTTCTGTAGGTGGAATTTGTTAATGTAAAAAAAAAATTAGAGGTAATTCATATAGTTTGTAACGGGTAAGGATACACTGGAACAGTTGTACACACATGCTCACACATACACATTATTTTTCACTTTAGCTTCTTACACCTTCCTCTCCTGACTCCACAGCAGCACACAGGTTACGGGGTTCTAATAGACTCCAGCTATAGGATTCTCTGCTACTCATAAAACATATGGCTAGCAAGACAGTATCCCTGTTTTTTCTTACATGGTTTATGCAGTCATGAACAGCTGAAATCTTTGGAAGCAACAATAATAGATACTGATGATTGTAAGAAGGAATGACACAGGAGACTCACAGACTTGATCCTAAACTAGTCCTAATGATGACATGGTGGTTTTCATCACCTCCATACACAGCCTCACACATTCAAAGCAGTCCACTTTAGCTGCATCAGAGAGTCTAATGTGGAAACATGTCCTGGAGATTTCATGTGAAGTGACTGGAGGCCGAAAGAATCTGGGCACCATAGTCTTTTGGGACTGTGTCTCTATGAAGAAGGCCCTTCCATTGATAGGCTTAGCTGGACTTAGAGGGAGAAGGCGAGGTGTGACTTGTCAGGACTGGAGGAAGAGGTTATTGGGAAGCCATCTTCCTTTTGTTGATGTTTTACACAGCATTCAAGTGGATGTCTCCACAGGGAATTTCTGTCGGTGTTTCTGGGGTGACACCTTTAATAATACGCTGTTAGGAAGAAGATAAGATGTTATAAATATTCTTATAATTTAACACTTAAAGTTTTTTTCAACATTGATATTAAAGGTTAAATAGCATTTAAATGGTGGTTAATAGTAAATTGGAATAGTGTTATTGACTTCTGTTAAGAAAGGAATCCCGGGTATTCCCTGGAGGTCCAGTGGTGAAGACTTTACGCTTTCACTGCAGGTGGTGCAGGTTTGATCCCTGGTCAGGGAAGTTCTGCATGCCATGAGGTGCAGCCAAAGAAAGAAATTTTAAAAAGAAAGGAATCCCTAATTTGCTTGTTCTCAAATATGGGTAGAAATGCCATATAAAGGAACTATATAAAAGCATCTGTAAAAAGTCACTTTCACACTAGTAGGAGAAAATGAGGACCCTTCAATAGAACCAATGCTGGCCCATAATATGCCTTTGATGGTCTGGGAAAGGACATCCATTTCTCTGGGCAGAGGAGGCTCCATGTGGCCCAGAGGGCTTGGGGAGCAGAGTGAGCACTGGATTCTGGTTCCCCTCACCTCAGCCAGGCTCCTGTGCCCTGCATATATATTACAGGCACAGTGCATGGTGCCATCAGTCACTGTAACAGCCAAGATGTTATCACTGCCTTAATGAATTCACCTGTAGTTAGTTCATACAAGCGTGCAAATTATTACATAGTTTTAAAAGATGTGCCCATTCAAATCATCATCCCTAAAGCAATCTCATTTTGACATAGTGCTCATTACAGGAAAAAGAATTTTTACTGTAGAAACACCTGAGGTACACAGAAGCTTTGGGACAGATCTGAAATATGCTTGGATTTGGGTATGAAATATACAGCCTGCCTTGTAAAACTTAGCATCAGGGTGACATGAAGCAGCTCAGAGATGTAGGGAGCACTGCAGAGGTTTAGAAAAGAAAATACTCAGTTGCTCAGTAAAATCTTTGATGGCCAAAAATCTGAACCTATGGTGAGCAAAGCAAAATTGGATCTGAAAGTAGATTGAAAAAGTATGTAGTCCCCTTTAATCTTTTTTATTTCTTGGTTCTGGGAGTTAATTCTTAAGGAGCAGGGCCTATGGAATTCTAAAAAGTTCCCATTCTCATAGGTAATGAAATTCACAAAATTGTACATGTGTTCCTGATGACCTTAACGAAACCTCACCCTGGGAATCCATTTAAAAAGGAGTTACTACAATGCTCATCAGCAACCCAGACATGTCTAGTCATAGAAGTCAAATTTTCACAAACCATTCTTTCCCAAAGATAAATCTGTAACCCATAACTGATAAAGAAGAATTAGGCCTTGCTATTTGAGAACTGGACACATCACTCTAACTAGTCTTCAGTGAAGCTATGCTGTGCAGAGAGAGAAGAGCAGTCAGGTGTATGGCAGAGGCAAGACCCACAGTGAAAAGCACAAAAGGTTCTGTCCTCTAACCTCTACTTGCCCATTCTGCTGCCCTCTGACTGCTCATCTCCCAAAAGGCCAGGTCCACTTATTTCCCATATTTGGGCAGCATTCCAGTTGCCAGACTACTATTGCTCTCAAAATTTGCCAGTCCCTGGCCTTCTGCAAGGTGCTCATGCAAGCAGTGGGTCACTGTTACTATCTTCATGATTGCTTATTTATTAGGGACCATATTCCCAGTGTCTTTCTGCAGGTCACTAAGGACTTCTCTGACAGTCACCTAATCCAGCTGATGATTCCAACCTTGAGACTTTAGGTTGCAGATGCTCGTGACAGGGCTCTAAATTACAGATGAGCAGGTGGTCACTTACTCCACAAACTCCAGCCTTGTATATGGCTAGGGCCCAGAAGAGTTAAGAAATTTACTTTTCTCTTATTTTCTTTTTTTTAAACCATACCAAAATGTCATATGAGTTCTCTCTCCCTCATACATAGAATGTTACAGACCATAAAGTCTGGTATTCACAAAAAATTAATAGTCCCTTGGGGTGCTTGGCAAAAACATGCTTTATTCCTCTTAGTATGCACATAGGCATGTTAAGGCTTTTCAGAAGTCCTATCGTAAAGAGACCTATTTAACTTTGCCTTAATCCAGCATTCTGCAAAATTATTTGACCATGTAACGTTTTCCCCAGCAGAAACACTTAATTAATATCCCATGGAACTACAGCTCCTTACAACACACTTTGGAAATGTTAATCCAGTTCAGTGAGCACATTTTAAAGATGAAGAAACTAAGGCCCAGAGAAGGTAAGTGACTTGCCATAGTCTTTTCCCTCCCAGGCCCCCCTGACTGGCTGTATCGTGATGCTTCCTAACCCACTGTTTCCCATCTGGTGGCCTGTGCCAAACATGGCCCTGCAATCAACCTTAACCTCTACTACTAATGGATCTGAGCTCTCTTAATGCTACCTTTGGGTAGCATTTCCTTGTGGCCAACGGGAATTTGTAAGAAAGATAATCAAAACTTGAAGTACAGTCTGTGACCAAAGAATACTGAACTTTATTGACCTGAATTCCCAACCCTGACCTTGGCCTCTGGGTTTGAGTCAGTGGGGTCAGTGGGCTGTCATGACTACCATAAAGAACAGCCAGAAGGAGCAAACACAATGACTCTTGCCTGAGCATGTATTTCAGACAACACCAGAATCCATGACCCTTGGGGAGAAATGAGGTTGTAATAGGGCTGTTCTGCGTGTAGGAAATTAGTAACTCCTTGCAGAGTTCTGTTCACCTAGAATTCAGTTTTTCTATTTGGAAAAAGAAGCAATCTCAGTTCTCAGAAAAGAGGTGCTGTTTTATTGCCTCAGGCTCTCCTGCTTCATGTTTCTTGTGAAATGTTTTAGGAAGATGAGTGTGATAAACTCAAATATGAGTTTTGCTTCTAAGAGCCCACAGACTAGCCCAGCTCTGATCTCAGGTTGTTAGAGAGCACAGTCCCTCTAGCTTTCTCCCAAATACCACTTTTCACCTTTGAGCTCACCTCTGACAAAAGCACCCACCCACAGGCTTCTGTAAGCAGCTGCTGCTTCAGGCTCTCCTGCCACAGTAACCTTGCTGTGGCATCAAACACAACCAAGCAAGTAGCGACCCAGCATTTTCAATTTTGCTAACATTGCTGGGAATCCTGGTGGCCTGAACTACTAACTCTGGCAGCACAGGATGAAAAGTGACAACTTGTCTTTCTAACCTCTAGAGCCCATTTCTACATCCGCAAACCTTAGTACCCTGAGGACACAAAAGAGAAGCTGCACCTGAAAGTGAAAGAGCATTGGACCAAAAACCAGAAGCCCTGGATTCTGAGCCTCCCTGAACTGTGTGTCCCTATACAAGTCACTGAAATAAGGAAACCGTGAGTGGCAGCATGCCCAGATTCAGTATCTCCGCTAAGGATACCTGCCCATCTACCTCACAAAGTACTTTGATAACAAGGTAAGATAATCTACATGAAGATACTTTAAAATATATACAATCTTATACAAATTATATGGTTGTTATTGAAATTTTTACCGCACACTATTCATTCACTGACACAAATCCTGCTATACTGGCAGCTTTTTTTTCCCCCTACTCCAGTAACTTAAGCTAAAACTGTGATATTATTGGACTTCCCTAGTAGCTCAGATGGTAAAGCATCCACTTGCAATGCAGGAGACCTGGATTTGATCCCTGGAGAAGGAAATGGCAACCCACTCCAGTATTCCTGCCTGGAGAATTCCATGGACAGAAGAGCCTGGTGGGCTACAGTCCATGGGGTCTCAAAAACTCGGACATGACTGAGCGACTGACACAGACACACATAATATTGTTGTAACATCCTTATTTAGTGATGATTTTTGAAACAGCCCTTATCACATTGCTGTTAGAAAAGTGACCACAGACATTTTCCACCATACTCTCTACTTAAGTGGATTTACTTAAGTCAAATTTGTGTTATTGCTGCAGACACCACTGATCTGATGTCTGTGCTCAGTGGAATGCAGGAGGCAAAGTAGTTTTCTAATATGTTTAGAATGCTGTATACCAGGCTGTGCGCTGTGGCGCATCCAAACAACAGCTCAGTCATTCCCCTTCATACTTGAGGCTTATGGGAGATGCCTTGAGATGACAGTGGCAGCTATCAGAGGCTACATAATGATGTCGGTATATGATTATATAAGGCTGAGAGCCTCTTGGTGAATCCTTGTGGTGGACTTCTCTCCTTTGAATAGAGCACAAGAAAAAAACCCTTTTCTTCCCAAACAATTACCAACCTACACACAAAAGCACACACACACACTAACTAGCACATACCTCCTTAAATGTCCCTGGAGTGACAATCAGCCGATAAGTTATATATGTGGGGATGCAGATGAAAGATGAGGTTCCTATGCAGTAACCTAGGATGATGCTCCATTGAGGATAATCATACTGGAAAAGTCGTAGCTGTGGTGGGCTCATCAAAAAACTGCAGATGATGAACTAAAACAGAAATTTCAAGAAACAGTAAAAAAATTTTCACAACACCCACACAGAGACAGTCCTAATACCGAAGAAAGTGAAGTGAAGTGAAAGTTGCTCAGTCGTGTCTGACTCTTGGCGACCCCATGGACTATATAGTCCATGGAATTCTCCAGGCCAGAATACTGGGGTAGGTAGCCTTTCCCTTCTTCAGGGGATCTTCCCAACTCAGGGATCGAACCGAGGTCTCCCGCATTGCAGGCAGATTCTTTACCTGCTGAGCCACTGGGGAAGCCAACAATGCTAAAGGGAAGATAATTTCAGGAAATTGCCTAAGGGTGAGATATCCTAGATTGATCTCTGACACAAAGAAGTCACTAATTTCTGTGCCTCAACTGCAAACAAAGAAGGGCTTATCTTGATTTTCGTCCCCAACCCCCACCTCAGCCCCTAGGGTAGGGATGCCAAGGCCTCAGAGAGTTACTGAGGGGAGATACAAAGGAGAAGAGACTGGCATCCATCAGGTATAGTTCAGGCCCCAGTTTGTCAGATGGTGCAGGAATAAACCGGGCAACCTCTCCATGGCTCCTGCCCGTTCTAGGGCTTCATCTCTGTCTCTCTGCTTTGTTTTTATTCATTTCCCCCTGCATTTCTCTGCTGATTGTTTTTGGTAACATGGAAGGCACCTACATCCAGGAGACATAATAAGGTTCTCAAGACCTGGAGAGGATGCAGACTCCTGAGTTACCGGTTTCTTCTCTCCCCTCTCTTTATATTAACCCCAAGCTAAGGACTAGGCTTTCAACAAGGATGGCTCTGCCACGAGGCATCTTGACAACAAATGCCTGCCTGCCACTGGCCCGTGTAATGAAAGGAATAATGGAAGGAAACAGCAGCTTAATACACTTTTTACTTGAAAATTCAGTGAAGATTTCAACCAAGAAAAATTTCATGCTGCACTCCCAACACTCAGTTTATGAGTTTTCTTATTTCAGTTTGTTTTCCAGAGAGAGCGTAAATGCCAGTTTTTGCCTAGTAACCGCTGTGCCGAAATTGTTATTGCTCTTGATTTAATTTTATCTTATTATTTCATAGTCATAAAGAAGACAGTAATGTAAATTATTTGTGTGGTTAAATGTCTATTTTTATCTTTTTTTCTTTGTCCTCAGGTAGTAAAAATGGGAAACTGTTAAACACACATCCATCTTCGGCACAGTACTATCCTAAGTCCAGGAAGAAGCTTTCAAAACGAGCCTGGCCATTCGCAAACCTTTCTCCAGACAGACTCTCCTCAGCCAGTCCCGGCTACTAAGGAAGGTGATTCTGGGACAGGGAAAGGTAGGGTCTGGTCAGGAGCCATGTCTGCTGTAACTTGTCTTATCTTGGTGTCAGATGTGTGGAACCTCATGCAGTCCAGGGAGGCTGCAAGCTCTCACTGTGGCCACTAAGTATTGCTCCAGACACCCCCACCTCCTTTGCTCATATACAATATTTTCTTTTTCATAACTTGGTTTCAATGAAAAAGAATATTTTAAGTAAGCTACTCATACTCATTGTTTACCTAAAGCAGCCTTAAAAAGCCTAGAGCAAGGGATCTGTTAAGTAAACCCAGAAGTGGGGGACAGATTTGCCTCATAATTGTGCCCTGAAGCACCTTTAGAAGAAGTGAGTATAGTGAACATCACAGAAATTATAAGTCACATGCCTGAACCCAGATCTGTACCTGGATTTTACTGGGCACAGAAACTCATTGATTGTAGCCCAAGTGTTCACCCAGTTTGCCAGACAACCACAGAAATGAAAATACCAAAAGCCTGGGGCCAGGACTAGAGTAAGGCATATGAGGTATCCCACCTTGGATACAGCATTTAAGGGGGTGCCAGAGTTCAGTAATCAAGAAATAATATTTTAGTGCAATACTTTAAAAAGACAAACTCTTGATAGGACCAGATTAGGGTGAGTGAGGTGAGACATGCCACGTATGTGGTCAGATCTTGTGTTTCTTTAAAATGCTGAAATTTGTTCATCAGTAATTTTTTTTTTGCATTAGTTTTGATTTTTTAAAAATATTGCATAAAAACAGTATTTATTGGGACTTCCCTGGCTGTCCAGTGGTTAAGACTGTGCTTTCACTGCAGGGCACCTGGGTTCAATCCTTTTTTCAGGGAACTATGATCCCGCATGCTGCTTGGTGTGGTCAAAAAAATAATAGTAATATTTATCGTGGCTACTAGGACTTACTGTGCTGCTCATGAAGGACCTGACAGGTGTCCTAGTAATTCTGTATTCATTTTCTTAAAGATGACCCCCGCCAAAGTTCTTTAGGCATAAATCTTGAGTCAGACATAGAATTCATTTATTGTCAAATGAGTGCGCTCAGCTCCAAGGGTTGCCTGTTTGCCCAAAGATGGATAAGTGCCCTGCTAACATCCCAAGTGTGCTCTGAGGTAGCCTGGGGTAAAGTGACTCTGTGCACATCAGCAGGGATTACTCTCACTTCTTTCATTTATCTGTAACTCAATTTAGGGTGGAAGGAACTTTTTGATCTTCTAGAGCCAGAGACTGTTCCTTCAGTCCAGCTTATTAGGATATCTGGGCCATCCATTTCCTCAGAGGACATGGATATAGCTGTGCCTTCTTTCAAAACAACTCTTTTGCATTCTTTTTGACTTAGGGCAGCCCTTTATGTTTTGTGCTTTGTGTACCTGCCTGTCTCGATATTCATCTGTAAGATGGGCAGCGTGCTCATTCTTGCTTCTGTTATGCTACATGCGTCTCTCTCTCTACCACAGAAGCCCTCCTTGACTTCCATTCCCTGGACGTTGGAGATTTCCAAAACCAAAGCCAACTTTGCCCCAAGCAGCAGATACTCTCAGGGCCAGGGGCTCTGTTATGTGCTGTGGGCTCCAGTGTTCCTCTAGATCTTGGCTTCGTAGTTGCTTATTACCCTGACATCTTACTATTGCTTTTTGGTAAACTTAAAACACAATGTATTTTTAAATCCAGAAAGTTTAGCTGTTTTCAGTGAGAGGATTGGTCTGGATCACTAGTCTGCCATTACTAGAAGCAGAAGTCTTGACATAAATGGGTTATTAATTTATATTATTACCAGTGGTTCTAGATAATCTACTTAAATCCTTTCATTTGTTTTTCAAAGGGAGAGACACTGGATCAGTGCCCTGAGGAAAGAAGCCATGTCTCTCAGTTCACTTCCATGTTCTCCAGCAGGGAAAGAACGATGCTGGGGCTGAGACTCAGGAAAGGCAAACAAGGCCCTCACCCTGGGCATAAAACTTCAGACTAAAATTGAACTGAGACCTGAGTTTATCTTCCCTTTCCTCATTGACTGCCTGTGTGGAAGTTTGATCCAATATTGAAAACCAGGGATTGAAGCTTTCAAGTATAATCATAGAAATGCCTGGTTCTCCCTTCAGTTCTGTGTTTGCTTCATATATCTTGGGGACTCTGCTGTTTGGTGTGTGTAATATATAATGATTTCATATTCAAAATAAATTCACCCATTTTCATTTTAAAAAAAACAGCAGTGAATATAAGTTTAGCATAAAGTCTGGCCTGGCATTTCTTGCTCAATGAATGTTATGTGTTATTATCATGGAGCAGGGAAGCAATGAAATAATGTGACAGAAGCCAGAAGAGTGGTTAACTTTGAGGGTGGTGGTGTGTGTTTGAGGGTGAATCTTTTCTCCAGGGCCAGAAGGAGAAGGGAGATGACAACTCACCAGGAGAAACAGAGGACTGATGGCTACCCAGCAGATCTTCCAAAACCATCCAGGGCTGAAACCAAGCATTTCCTTCACATCACTGCAGAACTGATTGATGCCTACAGTCATCCAAAAGAGAAGGAGATTGACTAAGAGAGGAAACAGACTGTCCTCCTAGCCCCTGAGTCTCAGAGAGAGTAGCAACTCTGGAATTTCTCCGTGGGAGGGGCTCAGGGACACCAATCTGGCCTGAAAGTGGGACGGGGAACATGTCACAAAAATACTTGTTATAGCAAGCAAAGCTCTTTCTACAGAGAGTGGGAGGACTGGTAGACATTTGGGGAGGGACCTAAAGCCTTGTCTTGGTGCCCCACAGCACCCTTCTAGGATTTCACCATATATCTGATTTTATCCTTACTGTAGAAAAGGAAGTTGAACTTTGTCTAAAAATGTTGAACCCACTTGATAGAGACTGACTCTGACCATATGCTAGAAACTTTCAAGAGAAAATTCTAACCACACTATTGCTCATTCATGTTGTCAGATCAAGATCAAGGTTCTTCTCTACAAAGTAACCGGCAGGGAAGTGAGAAGTAGGAACTCCGACTGGGGAGAGATGGAGAAGGGGAAGGAAGAGCACTCTGTGGTTGCTTCCCTGAAAATGCCCACAGGTCTGTAGCATCACAGACTTTGAACTTGATTCTCTGAAGTGCTGAGGGGGTGGGGAGAACTTCTTTCAAACACACAAAAAAGTCCCCAAACCGGGCCCACGTATAACTCAAAACATGGGACCCCCCCCTTCTTCATGTTATGTGTAATGATCTACATGCTAAAGCTGTTCTGCTATCATAGAAACTGGGAAAATAAATACATTCAGAGTGAAAATAATCACTTTTTGATTTTAAAGATCTCTGAACTTGGTTTTCTTCATTTCCACTGTCTGTGCCCTCCTGATTCTTGCCCATGGGCTCTTGGGATCCCTGCCCAGGGACCCATGTCAGCTTACTCTGCACTCCTGGTGGTTTCACCCTTATCAGATTCTATCCCACAGCTGGGGGGAGGGGAATAAACTAGAGCTTTTACCAAGACAGATAATCCAAACAGAAACACTCTGGCCTCTTGCCTGGAAGATAAGCTCCTAAACTGTGTCTCAGGGCTCTGGAGGGAGAACCTGCTTGTGAAATTTAAATTGGGGCCACTCTGTATAACAGGAGAATATCGTACACTCTGCAGATGCACTCACTGTGCACTAGTTCTTAGCTGTCTGTCCAACTCTTAGAGCCTGTCAGATCTTAAACAACCACTGTGGATAAGCTATAGGGAACCACTTCAGCCTGTCCACTGGGTAAACATTTAAACTCAGAAGGAAAAAACGTCTTCCAGGGAGTTTAGGCAATCTGTTTTACAGAGTCTGGAGGAAAAGATGACCTGTTTCTGAAGAAGGCACACAGGAGGTGAAGTCTTGTACACTGGCCTGCCTTTCTCTGACGAATCCAGCCCTTGTGTATTCTGGTGCCTACATAGGCTGGTGTAGGAAGGATGTGGTGGAAGGAAGCGTCTTACCGTAGAACCAAAACACAGCAACTGCTTCGATCAGGGCCACGGTGAGCACTGCAGGTCCCGTGGCGAACTCCTCCAGCAGCTTCACCACGTAGGCCCCACCCTGGAAATGAGACCACCAACTTGGTTCAAGGCCCACTGAGGCACTGCCTCCTCTTTTCAACAGAGACAAAAAGAATTTCTTAGAATAATCCTGCAAAGTTCTCACCTTGGATCTAATACAAATATCCCAGAGCCTGCCTCTTAGACTGGCTTTGGCAGGGTAGGCAAGATCTCATCCTATTAAGACTCCTCTTCCAGCCCTACCGGTCACTCTCTCGTTTCCTCTCCCCCCAAAGTTTTAAAGACAAACTAAAAGCACCTTTCGATCTGCTTTCTTCAGTTTACTGAACACCTAATGTGTCCTCTACCCTGGAGAATCCTGGTCCCTAAAGACTGAGTCTGGAGAACCTACGCCACCAGACACTCTGGGCCCAGTGGTCATGGTTTTGCCTCTGTCCTAACACAAATCCCATGGGTCCTATGCAGGTCCCCAAAACCCTGCTGAAGCTACAGAGCCATTTGGGTCATGGCCTGAAGATAAGTTGATTTACAAAGTCCGCCTTGAGTCAGGAGGATACAAGCCTGCCATGCCTATGGGTAGTGTCTGATGTACAGTTTTATAGTGTCTACCTCAGCTCCCCTCCCCCTCAAAAAGAAATCCCTGGAGAAGGTCTAACTTCATCGCAACTTCTCTGGAGGAGACAAAGTGACAAACCCAAGGTGCCAGCCTCCAGATATTCTGAGCAGTATTCCCATGAAAACAGCCATAAGGACTGGAAATAGACTGAAAGGTTAAGTCTTAATTTTTCTCCAGATAGAAATCTAGTTGGACTTGCTGTAAAATGCTGAACCCCCAGCTCCATGCCCAAATTCTACAGACAGATGCCGCCAGAAACAACTTTTCTCCTTCTCTGTGATGACTAACTTCTTAACAGCAGTGACAACCTCTCCCGCTTTGGTCCCAAAGCCAGGGCTCCCTGTGGGCTGGAAAGAAAGAGCTTTGTGCAGTGTCCCATTGCCAAATGAAAAGCTGACTCTTGGTTGGGGGTTGTTGTACTCACGAAAGTCAAGGTGACCAGGGATCCAAAGAAGCAGGTAATGACCACGCCAAGCACAAACCACTCCCGGCGCTTGGCCCAGATGTGTGGAAACTCATCCAGCACGGCTGTGATCACCCCCTCCAAGCCTGCAAACTGAGTGGGGCACACAGACAGTCGTCATGGAGACTTGGGGACAAATCTGCTACTTCCAGGACAGGGGAAAGAGGGAGGGGTTAGGATTGCCACGTGGCCTCTCAAGCTGATCATGACCAGTTCCCCCTTCTCCCTGGCCCTATCTCCATGTTACCCCATCATTTAGATTCCATCAAGGAAAGAAAGTATAGCACATGGACAGGACTTCTTCGCATGAGGTCTCTTGGGGAGACTTTGGTTTTTCCAGAAATGCCAACTCAAAGCTGAGACTCGTTCCACATTAATGATATGAATGCTGGGCCACAAAGCACTGAGACATAGGCAGGACCTTGCCCTGGCCTTGAGGTGCTGCCAGTCTGGTCAAGGGACAGAGCACAATCACAGCAGTTCACATGTGCTGAGCTCTTGACCTTGCCTGGCACTTTACCTTCATTATCCCATGAACTAGGGGTCCTCAACCCCCAGGCCACACACTGGTACCAGCATTTGGCCTGTTAGGAACTGGGCCCCACAGCAAGAGGTGAGTAGTTGTCTTCCATTAAACTGGTCCCTTAGTGCAAAAAAGGTTGGGGTCTGCTGCCATTAATGACTAATGTACTACAGGGTAGTAAGCGCCCAAGTGAACAGGGGCTGGCGAAGCACCAGGAGGCAGCAGACAACATGGCCTGGGGTGGCCAGGACGGGAGGGAATGGGTACAGCTGCCTCTTCCTCTTCCTCCCCTTTCTCCTCCTCCCGCCTCCCCAGGGCTGGATTCCCCTCTCCATTCACTTGCCGTGCTGTCCAAGCCCAGGGTAATTAACATCAGGAAGAAGACGATGGCAAAGAACGTGGATGCGGGCATGTTGGCTATGGCTTCTGCATATGTGATGAACAGGAGGCTGGGGCCTGAGACAGGGAGAGAGGAGAAGGTGGTCACCGAGACCTGCCCTACAGACATGTCCTGGGGCGGAAATGACCACACCAACAATTACGACTCCTGTCATAAGACCTTACATGTGAAGCAAGCTTGGACATGTACCAAATGCCTCCTCACACCCACACCACCCTACCTGGCTATCCTGACATCCTGGGAGGCAGAAAGGGAATAGTATCTGCCTTGGAGAGTGTGTCTTCTCAACCAACGTGGAGAAAGGAAACAAACCTGAGACCCCAAGACTAGCAAATCTGTGCACACGTAGAAGAGTTTCCACTATATAATAAATCTCTGCTTTCCCCACCCCCCCCAAGATCTCCAAAATTTTCACAGCATTTAGCTCTCTAGCTCCAGAATAGTAGAAAATATTAAATTGATTTTAGAATAATAGAGGTCTTAGAATAAAGTCTTCCAGCTATTTTGACTTTCTTGATAGTATGAGGAACATGTCTTCAACCTCCCATGGTCCAAATCAGGCACATTAGTTTGGGGCATGAGGCTGACAGGATCAGAGCACCACGTCAGGCCAAAGATAGACGTATGTTGGCAAGAAGCCCTGGGACTCCATCCACAAGATTCCATCACCTCTCTTTCAATGTCTGTTTCTCTTTTTCCATAACAACTCACAGTAGAGTACAATGACTGCATCATCTACATTCCTTTTTCTGCAAAAGGAAATTCTAAGGACTGGTAATCATTTGCTTACTAGACTTGGGCCCATCACAGGACCCAGACCCACTAGTTTTAACAGCCATCATCCAAGTCATATTCTCAAGCGCAGTGTATCAAGGCATTAGTGCTGGGCCCCAAGGGAGATGTCCCATCCCCACTCTGGCCTGAACACATGGAAAGGGTTTAGATCTCTAAAACCTTTGAAAAATTTAAGAGGAACTGTTAGAAATAATGCTAAAGTTAAGATATTTGTAAAGATCCAAAGAGCAGCAAAGCAGTTCAGTGGGAGCAAGTAACCCAAACAGAATCCAAGGTCCCTACCTGCATCTTTGGCCACCTCAGACACATCTTCTTTCCTCATCTCAGCCATATACCCCAGCACCGTGAAGATGACAAATCCTGAAACGAAGCTCGTCATGCAATTCACCGCACTGGTCACCAGGGCGTCTCTGGAGCAGAAAACCCAAGGGACTGAGACATTTCTAAGTCAGGAGTCTGAGGAGAATCTGTCTCCAGACTGACAAGGATGAATGGGCTGAGCTCACAGGGACTTAAAGCCTGTCTCCTCCCAGGGTGCAGCCTCTTAGCCAGGTTGCATCACCTCGAAGCACAAGCTGCTGTTATCACCATGCACGGCATGGGGGGAGCAGCAGGTCAGGAGTGGTTTCAAGAGATGGTCCTATAAAGCAGCAGAGCACAGACTGCTGGACTTCAAACAAGCCTTATTCTGAAACGACCTGAGCTAGAGTGGGGGCCTTGGCCTCACACTTAAGACCTCAGATTTAGACTTGACATTATTTGTAAATGAGGTTGTAAGAGTGCCACAAAGACATCCTCACACTTTTAAAAGAGGACCTCATCATAATGCAACTTTAGGCTTATGTCCCAATGCAAGGCCACATTGCTTAGGGTGCATGTAAACTCCTTTAAAAAAATTCTGTAATTGTCTTATGAACTGCACAGATTACTGAACATTATCATCTGTGATAGACTGTTAAGACAAAATTAACTCTAAAGATGATAAGTGATATTTAAATCATAATTGGTGCAATATTACCTGTTTTGTTAAATTTCTGAAATGAGATTTTCACATAAATCATAGCATTCTGTGTTGGTCAGAATAGCACAATTGTTACTGTTTTCGTGTGTGTGTGTATGTGTGTGTGTGTGTGTGTGTGTATATAAATTATCACGTCACAATTTTTGTTGCTAAATATTAACAGGTCAAATCTAAACATTTAACATATGTTGCAATTTTTGTAAACCTGCTTCGGAATTTAATTTTCTTGAAAAAAAGAGAATCTCACAAAGCAAAAGTCTGAGGCCTCTCTCATCTCCTGAGTGGCCTGGGTGAGGTCGTGTTCTGGGTGGGTACTCTGGCCATGAGTGAACTGGCCAGGCACCTGTAGTACCCCTGAGGGTCAGAGAGTCAACATGGCCTGAGCCTGGCCAGGTGTGAGGCCATCAGTTTGATCCCCTTCCTCCAGGCTACTTATGCTCATTCTGCTTCCATGCTTTGCTTGGGGCTGCCCCAGATACTCACTGGTAACAGTTGTTGTGGAATTTGTTGTAGCTCGCAAAAGCCAGTAAGACCCCAAAGCCAGGGCCGAGAGAGAAGAAGATCTGGGCGGCCGCATCCACCCACACCTGGAATAGAGCAGAGGCAAAGGTCGGGGCCGAGACCCAGGCCATCGCTGGGCCAGCGCCCTTGTGCCTCCACGTGGCTGTGTGCTGAGACAGAAAACAGGCTCTCAGAGTTCCTGGTAGGACGGCCACATACCAAGTGCAGAGCAATATGACTGCCTGTCATTTAGGCATAAACCAATGCCGTGGCCTCAACTGTACTTTTCATGCTTTTTTCCGGTTTAAAGCATCACTGCAGACTTAACCACTGAACCCAAATTTTAGTTGTTCCTATAGTCCTAGGACTAGCTTCAGTTAGTATAAAGACAGACAAGTGCACACTGCTTTCCTCATTATCTTACCCCTGTCTCTAGGAGTTTCTGCCAGTTGGGTTTCAAATAGAAGAGAACTCCCCTCCAGGCTCCAGGGAGGGTGGCCCCCCTCACCAGCAGGATCAAAAGAATGATGTAAGGGAAGGTGGCTGTCACCCAAACCACCTGTAAGGAAGGAAACACAGGTTATCACCACATGAATGCTGGTGTCTTATTCTTAAAAACCTCCAAGAAAGGAGATCTACCTTGTTTTTTCTGTAATTGTAGGAGGCAGGGTGGTATGGCAGAAAGATCACAGCCTTTAGAATGAGACAGGGATCTGATTTCCTGTTTGCGGGTACCACCTCTAAACCCATTTCCCATCTGTAAAGTGGGGGAAATGCCCAGCAGGAAACAATAACGCAATCAGTGTTTGTACTGGTTGTATACCAGTGTATTGTCACGAGTTACGACACTACCAGTGGATTAAAGGAATTAAAAAAAAAATCATAAAATAGTTCTTTGGATTGACCCATTTCTAGAAGTTTCTAAAAGATCTGGTTGAAGAGAAATTGAGAATCACGGAATGGGTTCGGTGTAAAGGAAACCACGTTCCCCTGTCTGTAGCTGTCCAGGCTACGGAGTTCTGAGTTTGAGATCCTCCAGGGCCCCTTGGCAGACTCTGGATCTGCAGCCAGGGTCCTCCTCACCTTGCCAGATGTTTTAACACCTTTCCAGATGCTAAAGTAGATAATGGTGAAGATGAACATGATGCACAGGACAAGTTGCCAACTGAGGCCTCCCAGGTCCTGGAGCCCCTTCGACTGGTGGATCTGCAGGACGTGCCGCCTGCATGAGAGAAAGGAGGGCCTGTGATAGGGTCTGAGCCGCAACCGGAGTACAAACTGTGTGTGATACCTAGGTGGCGGCCAAGAGAAAAGACAGAAGCCGCACTGCAAGGACCAAGTGGCCACCAAGCTTTAGGGAGAGCTGGGAGGGGCTCTGGCCATCCTGAAGGAGGGAACAGGGCACTCAAGCCAACCGCCCCTGGGAGGAGACTCGGCCCAGAGGCAGACATCAGGCCTCTCCCTCCCGGGCAGGGACCCAACCAGTGACTAACACGACTGGCTTTTTGGTGCACGAGGATTTGTATGTGTGGGCAGGGGGCCCCTTCCCCAAGCCTGAAATTCCAGCACTAAAGCAAACTCCCTATTCCAGGCATTTTCTCCCAAAGGGTAGATCCACGTGAACATATGAAACCAGAAACTCTTGAGTAGTTTCAAACTACTGAGGTCATGGAAGGTTTTGTTTCCATGACAGCTGGCTGAGAGGAGGGCCCAGGAAGAAGGGCAGTTTTGATGCAGGGGAGTAATTTTGGAATGTGAAGGTAGGGACCAGCCTGGGCACAACAGAAAAGAGGGGTACAGCACAGAGGCCCAGACTGTGGAATACTCAAGGTAGTCTCTCCCAACCCCCTCACCCACATGTACTCCCCTTCCCCGACAGCGTCTCTCGGAAATCCACCAGTAGGGAGGGGAGGGAGGCTCAAGAGGGAGGTGATGTCCGGATAATGAGGGCTGCTTTGCGCTGTACAGCAGAAACCGACAGAACACTGCGAAGCAGTTTTCCTCCAATTAAAAAATAAACCATCAGCCAAGAGGTGAAGAGCCCCTGGCCCCCACGGGCCTCCCAAGAAGCCAAGGCCCAGGGGTATGGCCTGCCCCTAACAGGCCACCCCCTCACTTACATGCACTTACGTGTAAAATTCTTCTGCAGGGGACGTTGAGTGCAGCATCCAGGTGATGTTATCCTCGGAGAAGTAGTTGGTGCAGTTGCCAGTGTTCCAGGAGTTCTTGCAGCTGGTCCAGGGCAGCTGCTCCGTGAAGGAGGAGATGAGGTAGTAGAGGGCCCAGGCCATGATGGTGTTGTAGTAGGAGGCGATGTAGAAGGCGATGAGGCAGATGGCATAACCTATCCCTGGGCGAGAGGGCGAGGGAGGCCCAGGTTCAAGGGCAGCTGGCAGCGAGGCACGGCAGCCCGGGCATGGTAAAGGTGGGGCTGCCATTCATTTCATCCCCCAAACACTGGGACACGGTGGCAAAGTGGCCATGTGGTAAATTCCTAACTTGTACTTACAAGATCACACATTATAGAAAATGTGTATGTGTGCTATTAATGGTTTTTTTCCTATTTACTTTTAAAATTGGAATTATTATTTTTTAAACTTTTTATATTATACCAGAATATAGCTGATAAACAATGTGACAGTTTCGGGTGGAGAGCAGAGGGACTCAGCGAGCAAAGGGACTTAACCACACAGATACCTGCATCCATTCTCCCCCAAACTCACCTACCACCCAGGCTGCCCTGTTTAGTTTACGTTTCATTGCCAATTATTCTATTGTGCTTTAGCAGTCTCATACAAATTAAGCCGTCAAAACCTTAATTGCTCAGGTTATCCTAGGGATACCTGAGGTCTAACTGATTCCAGGAGGTCCCCGGCTCCCACCCAGTGATGGAAATCATCACTTCCTTGGTGGACCCACTCACCCACCCAACCACCCAAGCCTTTCTCTTACCTTTGAAAATTGGGCAGATTTTTGTCCATATCGAAATGCATCCATTTCGGTGGTATTGCCCCAGTGCGAGTTCCATGTAGAAGAGCGGGATCCCCCCAAAAACGGCCATGATAGTGTAAGGGAGAAGGAACGCCCCTGAGGCAGAGGAAAGACAGTTTCACTCCCTGCCCACAAGTGTCCAGGACAGCCCAGAGGACCTGGACGCGCAGAGCCATCCGACGCTCCAGAGCCAAGAAGCCACCCTGTCCCAGGTAGCCCACACGCTGCTCCCGTCTCAGGGCTTTGCCGGAAGTCGCGGGCAGAGCTCCACAGAGAAGTGAGGTTTGGGTGGTGGCAGAGACTACGTGCGAAGGAAGCTGGGTCTAGGAGTCAACAGAACAGCCACTGGGACCAGCTCCACGGCTAACTGTCAGAAGGACCCTTCTCCGGGCCTCTATTTCCTCTACTAGAAGATGAGGGTTGAGAACTGAGGTTCCCAAACCCAGCCTACACAGCAGACTCACGGGTAAGCTTAAAAGTGGACACCCACCCTGACCTCCTACAGCAGAAGCTTCAGGTATGGGTATGACACAGATTTTTCTTTTAAGCTCCCCAAGTGATTCTGAAGCAGCCAGTACATGGACCAGTGCTTGGGGCCCTGGAACAGATCTCCTCTGACAAACTATTCAACAGCTGGCATAGTCCACAGTCACTGGATTACTCTCTGTTCATCTGTATCCTAGCTCCAGACTCTTTTTTTTTTTAATAAAAAGTTTTATTGGAGAAAAATAGAACCACCACGTACACAGGGAAAAGAGCACAAAAATTCAACTGATACAAAACTGAAAGTCACAACTACCCAGTGTTGTTTCTGATTACTTTTCAATTTCTTAAATGGTTTCCCTCAATTTTTTATATAGCCTTGCCAATTTTCAGCTAACATAGCATCAAGTTTTCAAAAAATTAAGAGCTTCAGTGAAGGGACCAGCTTTTAAGATAACAAAAGTGACACCGAGTCTCCTAATAGGACCAATTCTACTGAAAAATTCCTGAAGCACATAACTACCGAGTCTGGTAGAACAGTAGCTCAGAGACCATCAGGGATGAGTTAGAACACTGACTCAGATGGTCCAGTATGCAGAAAGGGCAAACAAAAAAACTGCATTTCCCTGTCAGATGAGTTCACGTAAGAAAACCAAGGAGGTGCTAAGAAAATACAGGCAACGGCTGCTCAAAATAATTCAGAAGGCATTCTAAATACCGCATATTATTAGACAACAGTGTGTAAAGTGATGCAATTAGAAAACAGGCAACTTAAAAAAAAATATGGTCACAGGTCTTCAAGAACTCAAGAAAACAATCAATAGACACAAGAGCTGAAAGTCTCAGCTGAGGGTTGAAAGTGAAAGTGAAGTCGCTCAGTCCTTTCAGACTCTTTGCGACCCCGTGGACTGTAGCCCACCAGGCTCCTCCGTCCATGGGATTCTCCAGGCAAGAATACTGGAGTGGGTTGCCATTTCCTTCTCCACAGACTCTTGATTATTGATGTTTGGTTATATTTCCGTCGTTCCACGGAGCCAGAATGCTCCCTCCTGAGCCAGATTGGTGGGTGTAGCTGGAACAGGCAGGCAGTTCACTACAGGATGGAAAGGTGCAGAACTGCGCCTCACTGGAGATGCTGGTGTCCGCCAGCTCTCGTGGCTGACACGAGACCTGGAAACACCACACTGGGGATTGCCCACCTGCAGCCTGAGTTTCAGCCCAAAGCGTGGGCTGGCTGTGATTTTCCCTGAGAACTTTCCCTCTCGTGAAATATTCTGAACCTAGAAACCTGAAATCTATGCAACTCAGAAAGGTCGCACCTGCCTTACAGTCACGCTGGGTAAACCTGGCCTGAGAACAAGAACCACGCTGTGCTCTCACGGTGGCATCTGTCCAAAGGGTTTGCTTGACTGGTTTCACGTAGGGACTGAGTGTAGGGGAAACATCAACGGTGACCCAGCCCCTTATATAATCCTCAGGCCAAAGGTGAGTCCTCCCAAGCTGGAGATAAGATGATTCCAACTTCTGCTCCTCCCAGGCTGGGAGGACTGGGCTTCCCAAAGCCCCCAGTGCTGGAATGGCCATTGCAGGTAATGGACCCAGGTCCTTAAAAGATGCAGCAAATGCAGGCAACTCTGTGTCTGGTCACAGAGGAAATGAGAGGACCCAAAAGAACTACCCCTCCAACCTCATTTTAACTGCCCTCCTAAATCTGTTACCAGAGTCCCTGTCAAATATTGACTGATCTGATTCTCATTTCTGGTCCTTTTCCTGTTCCGATAGCAAGTCCACTGTTAAAACAGAGGCCCCATACCTACTAATTCCATTACCCAGCTCTGCTCTCTGGGGCTCCCATATCCATGCCTACAGTCAGATACTAGTTTTGATAATCTATAAACTGCTCTGGAGGTATCAGGAATAGAAGGAGGAACAAGAAATCATCTCTCCTGAAAAATCTAACACTCTTGTAGGAGATATAAGGCATGTCCATATATTGGTTAGGGGTTGGCATTAATGTGGCTGAGTTCAGCTACAGATCTCACCCAGACTGTGACTTTAGACTCTGGACCTGAGCCAATGCCCTGAGTTCACATAGATCCAAAGGTCCAGGAGGGCCTGGGACCCTGGAGCCACTTCCCAACTTCTTTCACAGATCTAACAGCTCTCGACTCTTGTGAGAAAACCAGTCAGCAGGAATGAAGGAACTCAGCACAGGGCTGGTGCTCATTCCCTCACGTCTGCTTGGCGGAGAGCAGGGCTTATGTAATGCGGGCATGAGAGGAGGGGCTCTTCACAGATGGAGCGCTAAGGATGCTGAAAATCTGGTGAGGTCAGCTTCAGGGGAGCTTTCATTCAACTTCATGACCCAGGGAGCTGCAGACATGCCTAGATTTACAGTTTTGGTTTACTGGAGATTTGTTTTCTCTTAGACTGGCCTGGGAACTTCCCAGGTAGCACTAGTGGTAAAGAACCCACCTGCCAATGCAGGAGATGCCAAGAGATGTGGGTTCGATCCCTGGGTCGGGAAGATCCCCTGGAGGAGGGCATGGCAACCCACGCCAGTATTCTTGCCTGGAGAATCCCAGGCACAGAGGAGCCTGCTTGGCTCCAGTCCATGGGGTTGCAAAGAGTTGGACACAACTGAAGCAACTTAGCACACACACAGGCCCACACAGACTAGCTTGAAAGTCTAAGCAACCACGTTTCCAGACTCTTATCAGTTAAACAAGTTAGGAAAGACATGATCTATCCTCTGGCCTCCCAAGAGGACCCACAGCCCACCCCTGGGTCAGAGCCTCTGCCCACAGCTCACGACACTGACCCCCTCCGTTCTGGTAACAAATGTAGGGGAAGCGCCAGACGTTGCCCAGGTCCACAGCATAGCCGATGACAGAAAGGAGGAAATCCACCTTCTTGCTCCAGGTCTCCCGCCCTGCGGAATGAACCTCAGCCACCAGGGCGGTGGTGGCAGCCGGGATGGGGTGCTGAGTCTCGTCTCCCGCGCCAGGGTTCGGAACTGCTGAGTACCCGTTGGAGATCTGGCCGGACTCTGCCTTGTCCCCAGGGGCAGGGACACCCTTCTGTAGAACCCCATTTTCCTGACAATCTTCTCCATCCTTACACGCTGACAGCTCCTTCTGGGAATTTAACGGGGTGGTCTCCATCCTGTTGGCTAGGAGGTGATGCTGACACCCATGTGCCAAGGACCGACCTGAATTCTTGGCGCTCAGATCTGTGGATCTCCTCAGAACTTTATATCAGTGGGACTGAGAGCTCTGTTGGAAAAGCAAAAGGAGAACAGAATTGGGTGTTTTACTTGTCTTTGGTAACTCAAAATGCATCTTGAACTATATCAGGTAATGGGATTACAAAGCCATCTGTTAAACAAGAGCTATCCTATTTGCTACATAAGAGTCAATAAAATCAACAACATTTTTCAACCCATGCTAGGTATCAAATCACAACTGAGTAATTTAAAAAAGAAAAAAAAACCCAATAAGGCAAACAAAAGTAGAAAGCAAATAACCCGGGTTTTTCATAAGCTCCATTAAAAACAAAGTATTGACTTCAATTGAGGGACTGGAACCCCACCCCAGAGTTTACTGGGGACTCAAAAACAAAGCTCCCACAAAGCTTCACAGAACATTTAACTTTGTCTTGAATGCCGTGCTGGGGAAAGAGTAACAAAGAAGCAGTTTCTGGCAGCAAATAGATAAGGATAGTCCTCTCCATCATTTAAACTGAACACTCAAAAGTATATTTCATATATCAACTACAGGTGTGATTTGGAGCATAGGAGAGAGGTAAAAAGGCCACCCTTTGGTAGGCACCCCTAGCTCCTAAACCTCCGGGCAGGTCTGAGCTGCCTCTAGCTGCGTCCAGTCCATCTGTGCCTCACCTTTCTGCGTTCCCATCATGCCTCTGCAAGTCTGACTGAGTCTTAAATGGCACTGCTGCTCACCATTCATTCTTCTTGCCACTCCCAGCAACTCTTGGGGCTAATCCACTTGTTATTTTGTGACAGTGGGCAGGCAGAAGAGCCAGAGAGAGGAGCACTGAGGTTACAGATGCCAATGTGGCCGCTGTCCGTCCCCATGTGCCTCGGGGCTGCCACGCCTTTCTGTCACTGCTGTGGGCCAGGGTGCGGGGAAGTCAGCTCAACTCCCTGAGATTTCTACTTGGGGTAGAAATCTGAGCCCTTTTGGACTTTAAACTTATGCCGGTTATAAAGTAGTAAGGAGCCAGGACCTTCCAGCTAACTTTGACCTTCCAGGCTTGAACTTTTCAAACTCTGAAACAGTTTGCAGTTGAAACATATTTCGGCTGAATTCAAATCACATTATACCTTTCTAGGAAAAGGTGTCTAGGGATGACTGCTACCGCTGTTCGTAACTGCAAAGGTCTGATACGAATCTTTTAAATTCAACAGTTGGAGATTGACTAGGAACTGGGATTTTGAAAAAAAAAAGGGCAGTGACTGTCTCTTACTCTGGTGGGGCTTTCAGTGACTATAACTATCTACATGTGGACATGTAGAGACGAACACATAGTAAGTGAAAAATCAGAACACAGAGCAGCCGCTTCACACTGATGACTATGCACGTGGATATTGGTAAGGATTAGAAATGAACACAGGGGATGCAAGTAATTAGAGTTCCTTGCTGACTGTGTGGTTTCCCTCTGTAAAGTAGAAAACAAAAATGTTAAAGGCATTGATTGATGCCAAAAATATTAGAGCAACAAGAGAGAAACCAGCTCTATATAGTGAGGGTGTGTATATAGGAGGTGTGGGGTAAGTGTCCTGGGCTCTACTCGATCTGACTGGCTCCCACCCCAACTCCATCCTCAGCTCAAGGAGGCAAACGTGACCTATAGAAGGAAATGAATTTCTGACAAAGAGTGACCTAGATAAAAGCCCATTCTGCTTACCTTGATGCCTCTGTCCAGCCTTCCCCATCACCCCCACCCATCCCACCTTTCCCAGGACCTCAACTAGACTTGATGGACATCTAAAATAAGCATACATCCTCTCATCCACCATAAGGAAACATTCACCAGGCTAAGGGATTTTTAAGTTTTGGGGTTTTTTTTTTTGGAGAGAGATGATAAGATGTCAATATATTTAAATACACAGTTGAACTTGGCAGTCTCTGGTTGTGTTGTTTGGAGAAGGCCTCTGTACTTGCCTCTGGCCTCTATCAGTGACATGTTTTCTACATTAAACACTGAAGAACCTGCAGACCAGATGGCAGAGATAAAGAGCTTTACCAGGTGCGGATGGTCAGATGGCACCCAGCTGACAGATCTTGCCCATGACCCAGGTCTTCCTTTCTCCATCTTCAAAATTTTACCCAAAATTTTCTGTAGGGATGTCTTTCCAGCCTGTAATGCTGCAACTTTCCTCTCATTTAAAATTGAAGCTCAAAGATCAACTGCATCACCCAACCTTCCTCCAGCACGTCCACCACGCTCTCTAGGAGGAAAACGTCACCCATCTGGGAGGAACACGTTAGCGGGGGAATAACCGTTTAGTCATCCAGTGGTTCTGTCACCCTCCTGCTGCAGGGGTCCTGTGTTGTTCTAGACTTTATTTACTTCCTCCCTTGGGGCCCTCTGCAGGAAGTTGGAGAATGTGCATGGGCTGGTGAATCTTGGGGGCAGAGGGTGGCAATGTATGTTCTTCAGGCTCCTCTGTGGTCCAGCCCCCAAGGATCCTGATTTCTTGGCAACCGTTATGAGCAACTCCTAAAAGAGTAATACACCAGACTATTGTCGCTGTGCATTTACAATGTCTTATTTTCCTGAAATATCCCTTGGCATTAAAAAAAAAAGTTTTATTAACAGCTGAAATGGCCCACGTAAGAAAACCTATTCAGAAGGTCCTGTAGCCCAGTCGTGACTTGAGGTTGCCTCTCCCCTGAGGGTGGTATCTCCCTACCCAGCTCTGTTTTCCGGGGTTCTCCCACCCCAATCAAAGACCCCGGGGTGCAAGAAGATAAGTTACAGCCACACGAAGCCACCAAACAGGGAAGATGACGCTCATCTCCTTCTCTTCAACTCACTCCTCTACCTTTCAGAAGGAACCCCCTCCCAGGGACTGATCTGTCGGCCAGGAGCAGATAGATGGCGGGACCTGGGCCCCCTTCTGCCTTCAGGATGCTGCCTGTGAAACCAGACTCCTTCCCCACTTGCCTGGTTCTGCAGGGCACTGAGCAGCCTTTCCCCCTGAGACCAGCAGATAGCAGCGGTTGAGAGTGAGCCGGCCCAGGAACATAGAAGGAAGAGATGTTAAGAAGGTTGGTTTCTAAGAACGCTCTCTTGAAAGCTTTCTTTTCTTTTTTTTTTAAAAGGTATTTTTATCCTGCTGGGTAGAGAGACTGCAAAGGAGGTCACTGTTACAGCTGTGACCTCCTCCAGACAGACATGAGATTCCCCGCGGCCAGAAACAGCCCCAGAAGCCTTGATGTGCGTCTGGGATGTGCACCGTTTCCTAGGCTGAGCAGGTGATGGGCTGTGGTGGGTCAAGGCCTGACGCCCAGGACCCACCCCTGCCGCCCCGCGACTCTGCACACGAGGGGCCGCGTGGGGGGGCAGGTGACAAGAGGCCAAGGCCTTCTGTTTACAGCTGCGCTTCCTCCCAGCCCAGGGGGTGGGCTAACTCACCCCACCTCCCCACCCCTAGTAAAAAGACCTGTTTCTATTTCAAATTCTCCCCATCACATCTCATTCTTCTTTCCACAAGCTCGGTCTCTGTAGCCAGGGGAACCAGTAACTGAACAAGCAGATAATTACAAATGAGTCATGAAACCACCCAGCCCTCTGGAGATGCCTATGACCCTACTTGTCTGTTTGACCCCCCTCAGCGCATTCTAAGCAGAAACACTACAGAAATTTTGTACTTTGACTTCACATGTCCAGATCAAAGTGAGTTCATTTCTTGGGACACTCACTTTCACTTTCCAAAAAAACACAAATACATGAAAACAACGCCCTCCTACCCCCACCCCCACCCCCACCAAAACCAGCATGAATTATGGGTTTAATGCTGAGACAAGATTAATTATAGGCTCTATACCCTTTGTAATTTGTACTCTCTATTTAGAGGGAGTCTAAAGTTCCCACGACACCAAGGATGATAGAAGTTGCAGAGGCCTGTAACACAGTATAGGGTTATACTGTGCCTATAACATAGTAAACACTAAACATATGTTTACTAAACACAGCAAACATATATGCCTATATACGTTCAGTCAGGACTGAGCCTGGCCCGCTGCCACGGCCTGGCCCTAATTCAGTAGACACATACAGCCCGCCTACTATACCTAAGGCTCCTTCAGAGACAGCAGGCCTGGTCCTGCCTTCATGGAGTCCACAGGAGAAGGCCAAATCTGATCAGCGTGTGGAACGAGGGAGAGGCCAGTGCTGCCACCCAACCTGCTTAAACCGAGGTTTCTGCTGACTGGATGCGGCACGTTCAGACACCTTGCATTTTTAGCTTCAGGTTGTCCTTGGGTTTTAATGGTCTTCCTTGTGTTGCTATTACACGTGCTGCTCCTGTCACGGGACCCTGGGATTTTGCTGCTTCGGGTTCACGTCTCCACAGTGCAGGATGCAGGCTTGTTTCGTATCTGTTGAAGAGACTGCTGAGTTCTCTGAGGGGTGCGGTGTCTTAGGTCATAAGCCACCGGGACTCCAGCTCGCCTTTCGAACAATGTAGAAAGACTTCAGGGTCTGAACAGACCGAGTAGAGAAATTCTTCTTGTGTTTTGGATGTGAGGGATAGAAATGACTATCACAGTCATCTCCTTACCCAAAGAGTGCCTTATAAGAGACAGTTTAAGTTTTTGGAGAGGAATTAAACAGGCTACAATCCTCAGGGCCATCTGGGCCAGATACCATGAGAAAGGAAAAGGGGTCTCTGCCCAGAACTTTCCTTGGGGAAGGATAGCTTCAAGCTTCCCTCCACACAGAGGGTAAAATTGAGAGGATTAGCCATTTGTGTTGGGGTTTAGATCACTCCAGAGGCTGGGCAAAAGTATAATTAATCGTTTAATAAAAATGAAATGGATCTGGCATGGATAGGGAGGAACAGCCCTCCTGCAGCGAACATGAACAGGAAAGCTAGACTAACCACCTTCCTGAGGTATCATTTAACATCTGTGTG